GCATAACACAGATTGTTGATAGATCTTCCACCAATCTTGACCCCATACTTCTCCTCATAAAGCCCAGCCTCCCGGATAATCTGTTCTGTATATGGTTGAAAAGGTATGGAGATTGGATGCTTCCTTGGCATCCTCCCTTCCCAATTTAGATACTTTACAAAATATAAGAACATGCTAAAAGGATCAAAGGATTTTTGGTTTTGTGTGAGATGAGGGCTGATTGTGTATGTCTATAAATACATATATGTATTTATGAATATGTGTTCAGTGTTTGTGTGTGTGTGTGTGTGTGTGTCCATGCACTTGGGTATATGTTCCGTGTCTTTGTGAATATGTGTCGTAGTTGTCTGTCTATCTATCTATCTATCTATCTATCTATCTATCTATCTATCTATGCATTGAAGGAACAGCCTATTGATTTCAATGCAGTCCATCACTTGATGGACTCAGACAAAGGAATCTAGTATCACCACAGATCTTCCTAAATCGGAATATGTCATGGATTGAATTGTATGCCCCTCCTAAATATGTGTCACCTTGACTGAACTGAAATTTTCCATGGGTTGACAATAATGATGTAATGTGGCACTTAGAAATTATGTGACTAAATCTGATATGACTGAAAAGGATTAGGGTGGACTCCAATGCTCCCAGCACGATCACAGCTCAAAGCTCTCCTCAATGAAGGAGCACGTCCCTGAGGTATGGCCTACAGTACAAGAGAGAAAAGGAATAGCAAGTGAGCACAGGAGAAAGTAGCTTAGTACCACCAAGAAAGAAGAGCCAGAAGAGAAGTAGCTCCTTTGGACACAGGGTCTCTGGATGCAGGGAAAAAATGGATGCAAAAACTTATGAAGATCTGCAAGGAATGCTGGGTCTACAGGTGCTGAGAGGGAATAAGAGTCCTCCTCCAGAACCGACACACAGATAAGTTCTTCCTCTAAAACCAGCACACTGAACCCAGACTTCTACCTCCATTAGACTGAGAGGTGATTACTTTTTGTTCGAGCCATCCACTTCTGGAATTTGTTTTATAGCACTACACAACTAAGACATTTGGAACACAGAATGACTATTTAAAAAGGCCATTCCCATTTTAATTTAACTTTCTGATGTTTTCTAGTGCTTTTATAGCACTAAATCATAAAGATAGAGTATTCTAGTAGTAGTCATGTTTCCATAGCAACCTGTGGACGGGTTAGCCAGAAAAGAACAAGATCCTCAAACACGGATGACAAAATGATGGCACAGATGACTGGGGGGAGCGTTGTTTCACAAATGTGTTATTAAATTAGTATTGCCTTAATGCAAAAGGAATACTTCAAGTTACAAAGTCAACAGAGGCAAGTGAAAAATATTTTTATTTGATCATAAATTAAAGAATAAAAATCTAAAACCTTTAGAAGACATACTGGCTGAAAAGAAAATAGCAGTTTAGGCAAATATGTTTGCTCAAGTGTTCCTGAGGAGATGCTTTATAATTTGAACAATAATGACATGAACAAACTCCCAAAATTGAACCAGGTGAATTAACTTGACCTCTGTACAAAAAAGGATGTCCAATGGCTGTGATCTTTAGGAAGTAGATTAATATACTTTTCTTTCAAGGTATTCCTGGGTGGATTTGAACCATCAACTTTATAGTTAGTAGCCACGCACGTAATCATATGCATCACTGAGAGACTCCATATTAAACAAACAAAAAATCTCCAAAATGAACTCTCTGCCATTGAGTTGACTCTTACTCACAGTGACCCACTAAGTGCAGTAGACATTCCCCCCAGGATTTGCCTGGCAAGGATTTTACAGATGCAGACTGTCCTTTCTCCTGAAGTAAAAGTGCACATATTTTGCTTAGCAACCAACCACTTAACTATTGCATAACCAAGGCTACTCAGGACTTTGTATCCATTACTGTGAAGTCTGGAGCCTACTTAACAGCTAATCCTCCAGCAGATTTTCAGAGACTGTAACTTGCCTTGGAACACCAAGAGAACAAATAGGCGTGTCCCAGAGAGGGGGAAACCAAGTTGCTCCTTGGAGACAAAGATTTGAAACCCCATCTGACATATTTTGGGCGTGTTACCAGGAAGGACTAGTCCTTAGAGAAGAACATTATGCTTGAAAGGAAGAGGGCCCGTGCAGAAAGGAAGACCTGAGAGGAGAAGGATTGGCATCCCCCTTGAATTAGCAACAGAGTCAGGGATGTTAGAGCTGGTGAGGTTGTCTCAAGATAGAGCAGTATTCAGAGCCTTTGTTCATAGGCTATGAATTGTATTTGACCTGATAGCACATAACAAAAAGAAATTGCATAGTAAGAGAGCGCCCACCTTTCTGCACTATGGCAATTGGTGGATTTGAACTCCCAGCTCTTGGGTTCGCAGCACAATTCCTTAGCTACAATCCAAAGAGGTGATTTTTTTTTTAATGCTTCTTAAAAGTTTTCTTCATTCATAAGGCCTGTTCTGACCAGGGAGGGAACTTGTGATCTTTACAAACTGCACTTAGTTCTTTCACTGTCCTAATTCAGGATATCTAATTTGAGTGCTTTAAATTGAAAAACAAATTTCTGAATAGCAAAGGGCCTCCACTCACTCAGACCTTTTACATCATAGGGAAGACTTACCAGCTTGATTACTAGGTTTTTTAAGTGATGGAATATTCTTTTGTAACCCCAGTTATTTCTCACACGTCCCAGCACCTGGAGAGACCTCAATAAATATTTGTCAACAAATGAGAGGTCATTAAATGCAGTCCTTAATATCTGGGGTTGTTGGGGAAAGGTATATACACACTGGACAGTAGTGATACTGATCACATGAAATTAATAAAGAGAATGAGAAAAAGAATTAAAATCAGACTCAAAAGTTACTGACAGATACACAATTCTACACTTTCTATACACCTTTGAGGGATCACAGCACACATAAAAACAATTAGCATTGACAATAATGACCATGAATTATTACAAAAATATTCAATGTGTTTAATACATCTCATTTATCAAATGTCAGGTAGCCACACACAGTGTACTTTAAAAATATTTCCACTGGGGAGGAAAAATATACACTCAATTCTAGATCTTTCTCATAACTAAAGTTCTTTTTCTAAAACATAATCTTGATGCTATAACATTGTGAATCTTAATCTCCCAAAAAGCAAATGAACCAGAATCTTTTTCTGTCTATTCCAGGACCTCCAGTTCCATAGTATCTTTTGTAGACATGGAAAGTATACTTTTTCTTTGGCTTTGTGATTTATTAAGTTTCCTGCTACAGAATTTTAGTACGTTCCACAGATCCGATCTCCCCGTTTCAGTTAAAAAACAGTACAGAATTGGATCAGCGACACAATTTAAACTTGTCAGAGCAACTGTGATTCGATAAATTTTGTAAGTCTGCTTCCCAGACCTTTGGGCAAATGGATCTTGAAAGCTCACATTACGCTCCAAAACACTGCGAACCAGCACCATAACGTGGAAGGGAGTAAAGCACAAGATAAAAGTCAGTGTAATGATCACCAGGAGTTTTAAAATTCTCTTCTTTTCCTTGTCTTCTGTGGCCTGATTGTGCCTCACCGCTTTGTAGACTTTCTGGTTGCAAAACAGGATAATGACCAAAGGGATTGCATAGCCGGCACACGTCCTAAACAAGTTGAGACGAATCTGCCACTCTTCCAGAGGGTATTTGTCATAGCAGAGGGTAAAATTGGACTTATTGTTGTAACAGTACTCAACACTGGTTTCTTCTTCCCACAGCATGACCGCATTGAAGACTGTTTCCAAGGCCCAAATTGAGAGGCTGATCAGGAAGGCACATCTCCTGGTCCTGAGGAAAGAATACTTCAGTGGGTAGACAACTGCCAGGTAGCGATCCAGAGCGATGCAGGTGAGGAAAGCTGTGCTGCTGTAAAAGTTGACGTACATCAAGAAGGCGCTCACTTTGCACAGGGCTTTGGAGTAAGTCCAGTTGTCTCTGTTCCAGGTGTAATCTATCCACAGGGGAAGCGTTAATGCATACAGCAGATCTGAGAGTGATAAGCTGAAAAGGTATATCCCTAGTTCATTGGACTTCTTTGCTTGTAGAAAAGACACACACAGAGATCCAATATTGGCTGGAATGCTGGTTATGAACACGAAGATGTAAATGACTGGAAACAGATAGTGGTCCAGGTCATGCTGTTCTTCAATACATGTACTGTTCATTTTCTTTTTCAAGCGGCACTTTCGGCAGCTTTTAAGTGTTGCCTCATTGTAAGTTAGGTGGTTTTCAATACAAACACTCTTTAGTTACGAGGTTCAGCAGTGCTGGTAAAGGGTTGATATGAATCAATTACATCTCACACAGATATAAGTGGTGAAAGGCCAGTGTCCAACCTCTGAGTGTTTAACTGGTCTGGAAAGCCCAGTTTCATGAGCAGAAGGCCGTGTGGTCATTTCCACAGAACACTGACCACGAACCTCAAGGATGCTCTGAGCTTTCTCTATCGGGCTTTATTGAGCTTTGTCTCCTATTTGTCGAGCTTCATTCAGTTCAGAGGAGATTGGGGCAGACAGGAACATACACAGTCTTCTTTTCACAGAGGTTGGTGTCTCTTTTTAAGATGTTTTTGTTGCTGTAAAAAGAGATGAACTACAACAGTTTAGATGTACAAGATACATAACCTCATTACCATACTTTGTGAAAGAATATTTTTTAAAACCTTCATTTGCTGAAGAGAAAGAAAAAGAAAAAAGATATTGGAAAAATGCTCACAGTTATAAGGGGGTTAAAATATTATAAAATTGATTTTTATAGAATCAAGGTCAGAGAATTCAGCTGCTTAGAGGAAGAGTCATCCAAGAGGTGCTCTAGATCTGAGGAGGATTTTCTACAATTGAGAAAGTTAATATTTCTATGGGGCATGAACTAAGGACACAAAACTCTGGTTTAAAAGCTATTTGGGCAGCTAATAAAATGACAAAGTTTAATTATTTCCTGACAAATTGGCAAATAACTTTGTGCGATACACTCCATGCTTACACAATTTAAATTCTAAAATACAAATGAGGTATAAGGCACTTTTGTAATTAGCGTATTAGTCAGTGAAATATTGTCACAATAAACACTAAAAATCTTTAAAAATTTAAAATATGGCAACTCTCTGAACATTACTGAGCAATGCAACAACTCTTCCTCTCTTGTTCTTTCTTCTTTCTTTGCAGCTAATTTATTGTTTTAGTCTCTCTCTTTCTCGTTGCTACTGAGGTGGAATCTACTCATAGTTGACCCTCCAGTGCATTTTCAGAGGCTGTAAATCACTTGGAGGAGCTTGTCATCTTTTTAGTGGCCATTGAAAAAGCAGGATGCTTTCAGTTATTGTTATAATAATATGATCGTAAGTTTCACCATTATACCTGATTAAGTTGATTCTTTTTTAAAAGCTATGAAGTCATAGATTCACATAGAACAGATAATCCATCTTTCCCTCGACACTGGAGTAGAGAAATACTTCTGTTTTCCCTTGCTGGTAGAGCTTTCCCTGGCTCATTAGTGGTTTGAATGATATAAACTTCATAAATAAAGCTAACAAAACCCACTTAGTGATAGATACCAGAGGAGTTGACAAGTTCTCTGCTTTAGCTTTGCTTCTGCAAGGGGTTAAATGCAAACTTCTTTGCTGAGTATTTATGGCCTTTGATTTTGCCTCATTTGGGTATAGGAGCTGAGTCTACACTATTAGTTTGGTTCAACAAATCTCAGGTCAACAATGAATTAAAACTAGTCATAGATGCTCCACTTCTCTAGAGATCAAAGAAATGCAAGCTAAAACTTTAATGAGCTATCACTACACACCTATGAGAATAAGTAAAATAAAAAAGAAACCTCAAAGTCGTAGCATGCACAGAGTGCCCAGGACTCTTGTTTATCATGGTTTACTATTATCTACTAAATCTGAACTTATGCACACACTACGATCCAGTGCTTCAGTAGAAATGCACACACATGCTCATTGAAAGGCATGGGCTAGGTGCTCCCAGGAGCACTGTCAATCTGTAATAACTCCTCGCTAGGGATTGGGGTTATCTGCTAGTAGTAGACTCTCCCTCAATGAAAATATTTATATCAGTGAAATACAACAATTGATTACTACATGGAATAACAAGGTTGATGCCCACAACACAGTGATGAGTAACAGAAAAAGACAGGCAGAAAAGCACACATATGATCTAATTTTTTTAAAAATTAAAAAAAATTTTAAAGAGCATACAAAGTTAAGTTATTGTATTCTGTTTGGAGTCAGAGTAACAGAACTTAAAGAAAGACATCAAGAAAGAATTGAGACAGCAAGAACAGACGGCTCTGGCGGTGTAGTTCGGAGAGAGCTGGGCTAACTCAGAGCCCAAGCTTCTTTGGCAGTTCTAACCCACAGAAAAAAAATGAGCACTCTCCTTCCTGTTCAACTTACAACCTTGGGAATGCAAAGGAGGGTCAGTTATGAGTCAGTTACGGAAAGGGGACCACAAATGACTGGGCGAGGGCATGAGAGGGAACATTTGAGAGTTTTGCATTGTTTCTTAAATCGGAGTGTACTACATGAATGCATTCAGTTTGCTAAAAAAATATATATATATCAAGCTCTGTACTTAGGACGGGTGCTCTGGTGGCTGAGTGGTTAGGAGTTGAACTGCCAGCCCAGAGACAGGTGGTGTGAAACCAGCAGCTGTTCTGAGAAAGAAAGAAGGGCCAGTCTCCTTCTGATATATTGCCTTGAAAACCTGCCAGAGGGTCAGTGTGAGTTGGTCTCAACTCAATGGCATAACCGCCGCCCACACACCTAGGATTTGTTCATTTATCTGTGTGAATGTTATTCTGCGATTTGAAAAATTAAACAGTGGAATTGAAGGATTGTCTGAGATGGAATCCACTATAATTTTTGCAAATATTTGAAATGATAGGATTTGATTGCTTTCTCTGCATAAAAAAAAAAGTAACTCAAGGAGATAAACAAGACCATTTCAAATAATAGGAAAACCAACTTGACAACACCAAAAATTTGCTATATTTTAAAAGTTAATAAATTTCAGGATCTGAAAGAAGCAAACTCAAAGTCTCCTTTGAGGAAAGCACCCTAAACCTATCATCAAGGATTCCTACAGAGGGAATTTTAACAAATATAAACTCATTCACACACACACACACACACACACACACACACACACACACACACACACACCCTGTGTGTGAGATTACAACACCAGCTCCACAAACACTCAATTCATTGCTTTTAAGTTGGAACTGACTCATAGCTGACTCTCCAGTGGGGTTTCAGGGCTATAAATCACATGGGAGCTGCTCTGGTGACCTAGTGAGTAAGAAGCTGCACTGTCAAGACAAACACAAACACAGGAGGCTGGAAACTACCAGCCATGGGAGAAATAAAGACAAAATCCCGAGTGCAACTGATAGCCTCTGAAAACCCACTGGAGGGTCAGCTATGAGTTGGTTCTGACTCAATGGTGACGAGTCTGAGTTCTTTGAGTTTTGGGCAAATCATGTTGGAGGAGATTGTCTTTCTCCTGAAGAGCACTGATTGGATTTGTATCATCTGCTTTTGGACTGATGGCACGACTTTTTACCCATGAAGCCACCAGCACTAAAACACTTTAGAGATTATTTAATAGATGCATGATGTGAAATAAATGTGTTTAATATGCTTTAAAAAATAAAAGAAGGGTTTGAGCATTGAAACAAGGAGAAACGAAAATAATTGTAAAGATTTTTTAAAATGTAATACATGATTCAAATCTAAAAGTCAATACAAAGATTAATCAGCTGCTTAGAAACAACTAAAGAGAGAATCAATGGACTTCAAGACAGTTTGAAAGAAACAACACAATTAGAGTATTAAAATGCTAAGGAAATATTAAAGAGAGTCAAGAGAGAATTTATCTGCAAGACTTTCATTAAAGAATCTTCTAGAGGATATCACTGAAGAAGGAAAATGATTTTAAATGATTTTAGAAGTTTGAGATGTATGAAAGATTTAATGAACTCCTGCGGATGGGACTGAGGAATACACAGCACCCCATCCAGCCATAGGCTCATTCACCTGAGGTAGAATGCTTGCACAGTAAGCAATCCCAGCTTGCAGACCAAGAGGTCAAGGGCATTGACAGTGAGGGGGGCTCCTTCTTCCTATGTTACTCAGTAGCCCAAATTCTTCTTCTTCTTAAAAAATAATTGGTGGGGAAAAAATAACTCTAGAAAGATTTTAGAACCTCTGAATGTTCTTATCTAAAATCACTTCCTGTCTTGACAAAAACACCACAAGGCGGAATAGTAGCGATGAAGCAGATACTACGTGTCTTATCTACTTGTCAACAGAGACAGTGCAGGTTTGTGGTCATGAGCTTGGGCTCTGGAGAGAGTTTGAGGGCCTTCAAAGCCCCCAGTGTGATGTGTGACCCTGACTGTTTCTTCCCTTCAGTTCTAGGTTTCACATGTGTAGGTTGTATTCAATTCATAGGGGTTGTTGGAAGGGTTAAACACTTGTAAAGCTGGGGGCTTAGAACATGGTAAACTTTTAGTTGACTCAATCTTGTCTCATTGCTGTTGAGCCAGAACTGAATCACACCTAATCCTCCAGTGGGTTTTCAGAGGCTGTAAATGGCACAGGACAAGACTGTCCCTTTTCTCCCACTAAGCAGCTGGTGGGGTTGAACTGTTGGAGACCGTTGAGTGAGCAGTGAAACTCCCTATGGATTACGTCAATCAACAGGGCTCTTTCACTTTATTCAGCTCAAATACCACTCATTGACGTCAACTCTGAATCAACTCACAGCTCCCTGTTTCATTGTTTTCTGAGGCTGTAAATCACATGGGAGGAGATTATCTATCTTTCTCTCATGTAAGCCTAGTTTAGTTTGCACTATGTTAAGGATACACACTGTTAGTCCTTGAGTGTCATTGGTACTGTCCCTTACACGTCCTTGAAGAGGCTATCTTTAGATCATGCAGCCAGTGCATAGTAGAGAAGCCGTTTAGTATGCAATTTGTACATTAACATTCTTATTTGAGAACAAGATTTGACGTTCCCTATTGCATTCAAATTGATTTTAGCTCATAGCCACCCTTTAGTGATCCTACAGAACAAAGAAGAACTGACACATAAGGTTTCCAGGGCTGTAATGTTTATGGGAACATCCGTCCATGGAATATTCAG